TTGACAAAGACGAGTTGGAGGAACGTCGTACTCGCGTATTAATTGGTTACTAACGTGCTTAAAAGTGCCTTTTCACGACGGACGTTTATATTGCGGCGCCGGTGACTCGCTGCTTCGGTTAGTTAGCTCGTTGCGTAGTGACCTGGCTGCTCAGTGATGTGCGTATCGGAGCATCCATTTTAGCGGCGTGAAAACCTGCTCATTCATTTCTTCGCACAAGTGGCTGCCAATTCGCTAACACTGGCTGTAATTATATAACATTAGAGCTTACTACGCGGTTAAACCTTCTGTGCGACTTCTATATCGGTTTAATTTCTCGCTGAATCACACTAGCCCATTAGCTAGCTTCGCTAATGGGGGATAATAGAGACCGCATGGGTTTGGCTAGCACGTTAGCCAAGTAAGCTACCACCTCGTTGCCTGTTCTCGTGCTCGCTAATAGTGTTGGTCGTTATAGGTAATGTAGTTTGAGGGATTTACTACCTATTGACTACCTACTACTATTGGCCAGCACAAAGGAGCACAAAGCTAAAGTTAGCTTCTTGTTCGAATTTTCCCGTTCCACCTTAAATGATGCTGCAGTTACAGCACCATTTAAGGTGGAACGGGAAAATTCGGACAAGAAGCTTGCGAACTTGAGCTATCCTGCTGTAGCTGCTTTTAAAACTCTTTTAAAAGAGCGCTTAAGGCTCATGGCCTGAGAAGTGGTTGCTTTTGGTCCATTGATGCTATAGTAAAGTAGGCTGGTGAGCTTTAGCCTAGGCCTCACTTCTTTTTTTTGTACCCACCACGTGTGCCGGTATGCTTGGTACACGCCTTTGTCCGCATTTTGGATTGGTCTTTATTCCCTCCTCCTTAGTAGCTCTACTAAGCTTGTGGGTCACCCTTGAACTCCACAAAGTATTAAAGTTCTGTTTCGGATTCTGATTTATTCTTTGTAAACTGTTTTTCCTTGTGCGAGTAACGTTAAGCTTGTATAAAAGTTGTACATATAAAATGAGAAGCTGCTGCAGCTTCAGACGCACTTTCAGAGCTGATGAAGGCCTCAGCCAGGCTTGATATACGGGTCCTTAAAATCTTAGAGCACACATCCTACTTTTACCCCCTCCTGGATTTCCAGGAATGACGTTTTTGTGGTTTAATGTCATAACCAGTCATAGTTATTTATATGACCCCTCTTTATCCCTTGGAATTAAACAGGCTGCCTTGTTGTTACTGTGTGTTTAATATTGATTGATTATATGTAAATGGTCTCTGTTCTTACTGGTTGCCTTGTGTTGTCTCGAAAAAGCAGTCCAGGTTCAAACTTAACCAGTAAACTCGATATGAATGGGTGGAGCTAAACTGCTGCTGGCTGAATAGGTGGAAATATGTAAATGTTTTTTTTTGTGACATCACAAATTAATTCAGAACAGGCAGTTTAGTTTCCATATAGAATATGGTGTGAATAAGTTTTGAAATGTTTGATTTCTATTTGAATAAAGTACATATTTGAGTGTTGCATAATGGAATTTTTTTTTTTTCACCTGAAATCTTAAAAGGGGGTTAAAAGGCATTTAATTTTTAAAATTGTGCAGTGACTCTGGGTCTTGTTTCTTTATGATAACTTCATTTTTTTGTTCTTTTTTTCTTAAGGTGTCCCAGGGAGAAAGCTCAGAGAAGCCTGCTGCGGAGGACATGACGTCCAAGGACTACTACTTTGACTCCTACGCTCACTTCGGCATTCATGAGGTTAGCAGCTTTACCCATATTTTCTGCTCATATCACGTTTTGATGGTTCAGGCTTGTGATTCATTCATCCCTTTTGTGTGTCCATTTGCAGGAGATGCTTAAGGATGAAGTGCGCACACTCACGTACAGAAACTCCATGTTTCACAACAAGCATCTGTTCAAGGATAAGGTGGTGTTGGATGTAGGCAGTGGAACAGGCATCCTGAGTATGTTTGCGGCCAAGGCTGGTGCCAAGAAAGTCATCGGCGTGAGTAGAAGTCATACTTAAGTATTTTCTTACTGTAAGATTAAAGATCTTTTTTATAGAATCTTTACTGCTGTCTGTTGTACATTAGCTGAGGCCCTTAGTCAGCAGTGATACCTGCACTCGGACATAACTCTAAGTGCTTGTACTGTTCTGTCTGTACTGTGCTGTTTTGGCCCAGCCATGATCTTATAAATGCTTGCAATTCATATTTTGAATTACTAATGCAGGGGTGCTCAACTCCGGTCCTGAAGTGCTAGTGTCCAGCACAGCCTGGAGGTTTTCCTTCTCAAACATGCCCAACTAAACCTGACAGTTACATGAGTGTAATTAAGTGTGCCTCAGCAGGTAAGTCACCAGCTGGTGCTGGACACTGGCCTCCAGGACAGGAGTTGTGCACCCCTGTACTAATGCATCTGTTAACAAAGTTGTTAAGGGGCTACTGATGTAATCCTTTGTATTTTCTGTTCCTAGATTGAGTGCAGCAGCATATCAGACTATGCTGTGAAGATTGTCAAGGCCAACAAGCTGGATCATAGTAAGTGCTTCTAAACTTCTTGCATTTATCATTATGGTGAATGAGTGGCCAGACTTTTCCCCCCCTTTAAGCCTCAGTTTTCTCTCTCACTGAAAAAGTGTCCTCTGCAAAGAACAAAAAATACTTCATATTTTCTATAAAGTTTGGTGCATAATTTCTATCTGTTAAGTTTAACGTGTTGGGGGGAGGGGGGTATAAAAGGCAATAGTGCCCCCCCCCTCCCAAAACAAGTTTTGTCTTTTTTTTCACCCCAAAAATCTGAATAATTCAGTCATTGGAATGTCCTTCAGAGTGGTTCGATATGAAATGGTTCATGTAGAGAAGCTTATCAAATCATATTTTTTGGTGGTGGTGATGGGAACCAGGGGTCACAATGTCTACAACATAAATATAGTCCAAACCACTAGTCAACCTACTTACATAAGTTTTTATTTGTAATGTTGTTGGTAAAATAGTGGTGCTTTGGGGACTATTCTCCTGATCTCTCCACAATGAATGGATTCTGCAGTAAAAAATACTTAATAATTACTGTTATATAACTTTGGAGGACGCTTTAGGCTTTAAACTCAACCCCCCCTCCAGCCTTTTAATGTGTACTGTTTTCCCAGTTGTAACCATTATCAAGGGCAAGGTGGAGGAGGTGGAGCTTCCGGTGGAGCATGTAGACATCATTATCTCTGAGTGGATGGGCTACTGTCTCTTTTACGAGTCCATGCTCAACACAGTGATCTATGCTAGGGACAAGTGGCTGGTAAGGGTGCCGGCCTTTTTTTTTATGAGATTTCTGTAGCGTTCATGTTTGTCAGAGAAGCTGGTTGATGGTTTTTATAATCCATTTTTTGCTCCACAGAAACCTGATGGGCTCATCTTCCCTGACAGAGCTACCCTTTACATCACAGCCATTGAAGATCGGCAATACAAGGATTACAAAATCCACTGTGAGTTGTCTGCTTGTCTTGTCTTTGTCAGAAATATTGCCTGTGACTTTTTCTTGCACAGCAAGACAAGCACAGCTCTGTCAATAAGGCCTCTCATTCTTTACTTTGTATGTGTTTCTCTTGTCAGGGTGGGAGAACGTCTATGGGTTTGATATGTCCTGCATTAAGGAAGTGGCCATTAAGGAGCCTCTGGTGGATGTTGTTGACCCGAAACAGCTTGTCAGCAGCGCCTGCCTCATTAAGGTAAATACACTGGTAGAGTGAATGTCTACTTATTCATCATCCTATCTGTGTCGGAAGATTAATCTTTAGGTTTGCACAAAATGTTTAGTGGGAAATGGTTTATATTAAATGACTGTATTTACATGGTGAGTATATGCTCTAAAAAGATGTCTGCACACAAAATACATTGCCAGTCCCTTACCAGATAGTGTTGGCCCATTTGTGTAGATATAAGCTGGACTATCAGAAGTAAAAACTAAACAAAACTTTGTGGGCCACATCTTTGATGCAGAGTATGTAGGTTTTGGCGTTCTGCTGGAATGTTACAGCTAAGTGATAAAGTTTTTGAATGCTGTGTTTGTCATGCCTAAATGGCTAACATTTTGGGTCATGATAACTTGTTTGTCTCAATCAGGAAGTGGATATCTACACAGTGAAGATTGAGGACCTGTCTTTCACCTCACCCTTCTGCCTGCAAGTGAGGAGAAATGACTACATCCATGCTCTAGTCACCTATTTCAACATTGAGTTCACACGCTGCCACAAAAGGACCGGCTTCTCGACCAGTGAGTGACAGTTTGGTGTGTTTGTCGTCCTAGCTGTAGACTATATTGTGATTTAGACGCAACATATTTGAGGGTTTTTGTTTTCAGTTTTTATTTATTTAGCACCAGACTTTTCTGGAGATCTATGGCTGTCATAAAGCCATATGCTTTAGGCTGCCCAATTGCACGCTCATTGCAGACCTTTAAGTGGCAAAAGCTCTTACTTTCCATGGTATTTGGCCTGATTAGTCCTCGCTATTACTGGCTGCCCTGCTGTTCCTAGTTTGGGACCTCATATGTTCACCCGTTCTATTTTAATTGTCTTGATCATGCTGTGGATGATGCACCTAACAGATTAACTTAAAAAGTCTCCCTATTTTGCCCAGTACTGCGCTACACATTTAAATGTCATGGTTTAACACCTGACTTGTTAGCTAAGTAACCAGCCCTTCAATAGCTTAAAAGTGGTGTTAAAATTAGGGAGCACACTTCATTGTGTGTTCAGGGGCACATCAGAAGTAGCATTAGGAAGCATTTGAACTCAGTTTTGTAGAGCAAGATGGGAACAGGCTGTACTCCTGTAGTGTTTTGCTGTGTAAACTGTGTGTTTATACTACTGCAAATGTCTTTTTAACTACAATGACCAAAAATATACATTTTTACTAAAACAATTTTACATAAAGCTGCAGAACGGGTTGGGCTATGAATCAGAATTATCATATTAGTATCTGGTTTGACCACTGTTGGCCTGTAGCAGGGCAGCACATTTCTGGAGAAATCCTTTCTTTTATTTATTTCTTTGTGAAATCTAACTGAAAGTACGAGCAAAACCATAAAAGTTGCATCACTGTGACCTAATTTTGAGTAACTTATTTTCAAAATCTTTTCTTTTCAGGTCCAGAGTCTCCTTATACTCACTGGAAGCAGACTGTGTTTTATCTTGACGACTATCTGACCGTGAAGACAGGAGAGGAGATCTTTGGCACCATCAGTATGAAACCCAACGTCAAGAATAACGTGAGTTCTTCACCCATCTTAAAAGTTAAGTAAGTGAACAAACTTATTTGGTCAGTGTGTCATTCCTTTTTGTTTCTACTTTACAGAGAGACCTGGACTTCACTGTAGATATTGACTTCAAGGGCCAGCTCTGTGAGATGTCCAAGACATCGGAGTACAGGATGCGCTAGATCCCCTCTAGTATTAGTGTGTTTGCATCTGGGGCAACTTTTTGAGGCAGATCAGTGCATGTTGTGTGTGTATGTGTTTGTGTGTGTGAGTGTGTGACCTCATTCTTTTTAGAGATCTGGTCTTATGCTGTGAAATCACTGAAAGAGGAGGAGAGTTTTCAGCTTTTATATGGACACTGAGTTTATATACAGTGACTGCACTGGAAGAGACTTGACATTTACTCTTCCTTTTTCTTTTTTTCTTTTTTAAAATTAATTGTGCAATAGTCTCAAAGAACAGATTTACTTTAACCTTGCCATGATTTATTTGGCCACCTAACTTCAAAGTATTTTCCTGCCCAGTGTGAAATGATCAGGCATATCTAAGACATGCACACACAAACATGCACTGCCTCCCTCTTGCCTGTAAATAGTGTTCATGTTCAGTCACTTCAAACTGTTGTGGAGTCATGAATCCTGTTACAGCAACACATGCCTGTCCCTGGTTTTTCCCCCTTTTCTTTTTTTTTCTTTTAGTTTCTATTCCTCAGATCCTCCTGTGACAGTTTCATTGCCCTTCCATCAGCCAGTCAGCATGTCTGTTAGTCATGGGGGAGGGAGGGGGAGCAAATGCAAGTCGGTCATTTATTGTATATTTGAAATTATCTGTCCACAGTCCAGTTTTCAGTGTAAAAAAAAAAATGTCTTGTTATGACCTCAGTAGTTACAAGACCTGCCCGGTGTCCTTCACCTGTGCAATGTAACAGAGCAGTTCGCTTGTGTTCAGTAGAGGGTGCCATTGTAACATGGTCTGTGTGTGTGGGGTCATCCTAGTTTTATTTTTTGATTAATGCTGGTGCCCCACTGTCACACAGTTTTAAACTCTTTCCCTTCACTCCCTCCTTGCTTCTCATGTATGAGAGCTGTGGGAGGTGGTGGGGGGACTGCAGTAGTTTGGTGGAGGATGCAGAGTTTAACCTAATTTGCTTTTTGCTGTTTGCGGAGTAATTTGACCAAAGTGAAGTATCACCCCTTTATTGGCTCATTTGGGTTCATCCTCTGCCCACCGCTTGTGCTGTGAGCACTTAAACATGTGGGACTAGATGGTTTAGTGCAGGTCCTGCATTGTCTTGAAATGGAGTTTGGAGTTTCAGGCCCATGGCATGTTTAACATTGGTTTTCCAAAATGGTTAAGTTTGGTCTTGGGCTTCCTAATGTTGCTCCTTGGTTTATGCCTAGGCTTCATGTGTGTCTGAGGAACCAATGCTTAATTTCCCTGTAACAATGTTTTAAACACGGTTAAGCGTAATCGAAGACAAAGATTTCACATGTTTTGGTGAATGTCGGTCCAGGACTTGGCTTAACTTGTGTTAAATCTCTCCTTAGTGTTATTGAGGGCATCAGAGTCCAAGTCTGGTTGTGCTCATCACTGGTCTGGGGTACAGATGGGTAGGAGTATGTCCCATAGGATGTGTATTAACTTTTTCTGCTTTTAATAAAAGAATAAAGTTTGGTGGGGAAATTACCATGTTGCCTCATTATTGCATGCCTCAACAACTAATACAGTATGATGGTTCCTTGTTTTGGGGCAAAAAATAGAGTTGCTAAAAGCTTTAACTGTGCTCTGTTAAAAAGGGCTTTAGATTTTGGGTATTTTCAAATAGTACTTTTACTTCTGCTCAACACATGAAGATCTTATTTACTTTAACATTTCGTTACTAATTCCTTTTTTGTGTTTAGTTTCATTGAGTTATGTTGGTGTCTACATCTGTACTTTTACTTTTATCACTATTTTAGACCAAGAAGTGCAGAAAAGAATCTATAGAGCTGTACTAAGGTCCATGGGGGTTACCCTGTACTTATAGGTGCACTCAGAAGAATTTAACCTGTGCTACTATCTTAACATGCCTACTTTTGTCTTCCAGTGGTGCCACAGTATAGAACATCTAGTGATATTTTCTGGTTTAAAAATTGGGAGTGTTACTGAACCACTGATTGAAACTTCTTTCCCTGATCTGTATCCCATAACCTCACTAAATGCATTAACAGAGCTGGCAAGTGTGGCTACCAGATCAGGCAAAATCAAGGGAACGCAGATCGAAAACAAAGCCTCTGTGTCAGTGGCTGTGCCATGACTGAATATGGATAATTCTACAGAATTAATTCAATGTTAGAATCCAAATGGTGACATTAAAACCTGGGACTGCACTTTTCAAGCATATTTTAATTAAACACATTTCAACTGTAAACAAATGATGTAACTTAAATGAGTAATACAACAATTCTTTTTTCACAAGTATAAATTTCAGGGTTGGCACATACACCTCCCAATAGAAAGGCCCCCACAAATAATGATTTTTTTTTTTATACATTTAGCTTATTACTAATTTTTTAATGGCCCCAAAATGTCTGTTCATCATGATCTTTTAGAGTAGAACCAGCAAGAAAATGGACCAAAAATGGCTATTGGGTCAAATTGACACACAATAGATCTTTGAAGCATAGACCCAGAATCACTTAAGCACATCCATATACCCATGCACTTACTACAGGCACAGATCAAGCAAAGGTACTGAAGTCAAGCATTCCTCCTTCAGTTCTATGAGTCTCCTTCAGCTTTTTTCTCTCCCTCTCGTCCTGTGTTTAGCAATATGTTATTTCACTCAACTTCAACTCAGATTTACAAGAACTGAAGAAAATAATGAGAGATCAATCCGTTCATTTTTTTTAACTAGTTAAAATCTGGGTGTTGCAGTGGGTTCAAATTCCCCCAGCCGGTTGACTTGGGAGTTTGCACGTTCTCTCGTGTCTGTGTGGGTTTCCTTCCACAGTCCAAAGACATGCGGTCGGGTGAATTGATGATGCTATGTGTGAATGGACTGGCGACCTGTCCTGTTTCCTGCCTTCCTCCCAGTGAGTACTGGGACAGACTCCAGCAGCCCTCCATGACCCAGGACGATAAGCGGCTTAGAAATTGTGTGTGTGTGTGTGTGTGTGTGGTAAAAATCCTATCTCAATGGCCTTTGATGGAGCTGCTGCCACTTAATTTCCACCTACAGGTTGATGAATTGAAGTAACTTTGAAAAAGATAACTCTGCCAAAGAATGTGTTCTAAAATACAACCCCATTTCCAAAAAAGTTGGGACACTGCAAATCATTCAAACCATATATTTGATTGAAAATAGTACAAAGACAACTTTTTGAAAAACATACATATATAAGATATATATATATATATATATATATATATATATATATATATAAGAATAACGTTTCTCAACATAAAATAGCAAAGAACGTCTGCTTTTCATCATCTATGGTACATAATAACATTAAAAGAGAGAGTCTGGAGAAATCTCTGTATTCAAGGGACAAGGCCAAAAACCAATATTGGCGGGCCGTGATCTTTAGGTCCTCAGGCAGCACTGCATTAAAAACAGACACGATTCTGTAGTGGAATTCACTGCATGGGCTCAAAACACTTCTGAAAAACACTGTCTGTTAAAACAGTTCATCTCTGCATCCACAAATGCAAGTTAAAACTATAAAACGCAAAGAAGAAACCATATATAAACAGGAACCAGAAATGCTGCCACCTTCTTTGGGCCCGAGCTCATTTAAAATGGACTGAGGAGAAGTCAAAAAGTGTCCTGTCGTCTGACAAATCAACATTAGAAATTCTTTTTGGAAATCATGGACGCTGTGTCCTCTGGGATAAAGATTGTTATGAGTGCACAGTTCAAAAACTAGTATTCATGATAGTATAGGGGTGCATTAATGCACCATGCATGGGTGATGTGCACATCTGTGAAGGCACCATAAATGCTGAATGATATATACATGTTTTGGCAACATATGCTTCCATTCAGATGACGTCTGGGGGAAGGCCTTGATTATTCCAGCAAGACAATGCCAAACCACATTCTGCACATATTACAACAGCATTGCTCCGTAGTAAAAGTGTCAGATTGCTAAACTGGCCTGCCTGCAGTCCAGACCTGTGACCCACTGATAACATTTAAAAGAATGGGAAAACAGTGGTAAACATGCCCCCGTCCCAACTTCTTTGGAATGTGTTGTTGGCAATATATTATATTAATATATATATCAAATATAAAATGGCCATATATTTTTCAAAAAACAATAAATTTCTTATTTGTAACATTTGATATGTTGTCTTTGTAGTATTTTCCTTTAGAAATATGGTTTATATTATTTGCACATCATTGCATTCTATTTTTATTTACATTCTGCACAGCATCTCAACTTTTTTGGAATGGGGTTGTGTATTTTTGGCCACAACTTTATCTCAAAACTATCATAAAACAATGTCTCAGTCATCAGGCAGTGTATTCATAACCATTTCATGTAATAACTGTCTGTCAGGGAGCTTTTAGAGGTGGACGTCTGGTTCCTATCACCACCACTGTGAACAATTCTGATTCAGATTCTGATTCAAGTTTCTCTAGAACAGAGCATTTCACACCAAACCACTCTGAATGACTTTATATCTCATCCACTAAATTATGCAGAATTTTTGAAAAATGTGTGAAGATTTAAGCTACTCTGTACACCTCTGTATACCACATGGTTGTGGGGTTCATGATGACGTTCACAAGAACATATTTGGCTGAATTTCTTCAGGAAAATAATTGCAGATCATATTGATTCACGCTAAGCACTGTTAGGTTACACCGCTGCAAAGACTTGGACAGATTCTCTACGCAATACTACAGCATGGATTTTTCCTGATGTTTTTCCTCAACCATTCTTCCTTCTCGGTCTTTATCTGCTGCCCCTGATGCTCTAGCTCAGTCATTTTTTCTTTGTATTCTTTCAGCATGTCAAGCCTCTCCTGTTCAATCTTCTGCTTCTCCTTCTCCATGCTCTGCTTGTGCTCGGACTCCGCCGTCTTCCTCTTCTGTTCCTCCTCCTCCATGCAATGCTGATGCATGGTCCACTCCGCTACCTTCTTTTGCTCCTCTTCCAGCATCTTCCTCTGGTGCTCTGCGTACTCCAGCTCACGTCTCTGCTGTTCTTCTGCAGATTTTTGGGCCTGAGAGCTTTCAAACATCTGCTGAGCCTCTTCTGCGGCCTTCCTCTTCTGTTCTTCCTGGACCAACTCGAGTCTTACGTCTTCTAGGGCTGCGACCAGTGCAGCTTCCTCGCGAGATCGTCTGATTTCACTCTCCAGAAGCTGCCCCCTCAGTTCTGACTCCTTTAATCTCTGTCTTTGCTGCTCTTGCTGCATCAGGGCCATCTTCCACTGGAACTCGGCCTCTTTCATTTGCATCTCCCTCTCGACGTTCCTCATTTTCTTTTGGATCTCGGCCTCTTTCTTCTTGTACAGCTCCAGCAGCTGATACGTCGTGTTGGTGTAGTAGGTGCCTCCGTTGTGTTGCAACATCTCCTGGATCTTCATCAACAGCGAGTGCACTTGATTGCGGCTGCTCTGCTCTTTGTTGTTGAACACGTGGTATCGTCTTCCGCACTTGTCCACCAGGCTCTTGAGCTCGTCCTTGGCGTTGGCCAGGTAGTCATCAATGCTTCTGTCCTCCAGGTCGTCTCCTCTTGTGAACAGAATCATCATGTATTTGGTGGCTCCTTCCCCAAAGACCTCCTGTATCATTTGGACTGCTTTGATTTCCTCCTCGGTGAACCGACCGATCGGCACTACTAGCAGGAACACATGAGGCCCGGGATAGGACATGTCGATGCACTGGATTGTTTCCTGCACAATTTCAGCCTCAGATAGGCCTGTGTCACACCACCCAGGAGTGTCCACCACCACCACGTTACAGCTATTAAATGTGTTGGTAGCCATCTTGCAGGCTTTAGTAACTGACAGTGAACTGGCTTCTTTGTGGAAAGCATCTTTGTCAAGGATGGTGTTTCCTGTTGCACTTTTTCCAACCCCAGTTTTTCCAACAAGGACTATCCGCAAGTTTGATTGCTGTCCTCCTGTTGGTAATGGAGGAAAGAACAGAGTAAATTATCATCATTCCATGCTGATTTGATCATGTCAAACATTTGAAATATGTATTGTAATGCACAAATGAGACACAGGAGCCTTGATTTAAGTCGTTTTTGTGTGTCCATATAATGTCCATAATAAGGTTGGGTGGTATAATGGTTATAGGGTATGCTGCAGCATTTAAAAATGATGACGGTATTTCAAAATTCTATGTCAGATTTCTGTTCTGTCAAATAAACACTTTCCACTTATTTATATTTCAGAAGCACTCAACGTTTGATGCTAACTGATGGGTGTAGCTGATAGAAAAAGGGAAAAAATGGAAAAACCTAGCATGATAGCGGCTCAGCGATGGCTAAGAGCTACGCTAACCACAGAACACGTTCAATTGCAGCTTTCACGCTAACCCCAGTCACTCAACTTTGTGCTCTCAGATGTTCTGTAAACAGGTGTCATTTTAGCATCAGGAAGCTGGAACTGAGCCTGTGCTGTGATGGGTGGCATATTTGGCCTGCTAACTAAGCTATCATTTGATTTTTGTTCTGGCCCAGTACTGCAAAATATGAAGAACTAACGGACATGGCCCAGCTCTGGCCCACACACTGTAAAGTGAGTAGAACTAAGAGATCTGGCCCAGCTCTGGCCCACATACTGTAAAGTGAGTAGAACTAAGAGATCTGGCCCAGCTTTGGCCCACATACTGTAAAAGTGTGTACGTTTAACGGCAGTGGTCCAGATCTGTCCCACACCCTGTGAGCATATTTAAAAGGTGTGGGCCAGATCTGGCTCATATATGGCACACAGTTATGAGCCACCCACTTTGGTTTCCAGGCCCAGATGTGGCCCTGAGTATATAAACAGTCATTTATTGCAGAACATGCAAAATATTAATAATATTTCTTTGTAAACAATACGTTTCAGAATGAAAACTCGGCGAGCGTTGGCTGTTTTCTGAAACTTCAGTAATGGGCCACTTATGACATGCCAGACTTAAATCAACCGAGCGCTGATCTGCCCCAGCATAAACATGTGGCCCTCGTCCTTCATCTACACTGCTGGGCCACAACATTCATGCCATAATTGGCCCTTTGAGGCACAGTGGTCACTGTGAGAAACCACTTTGTTTTTTCTAATTTCTCAATTTGCATTAATGTTTCTGAAAATGTTTAATGTTGTTCTTGGGACAGTTAAAAAAGTACCACACAGGAAGTGATGTAAGAACTGTAGTTTTTCTGCAAAGCTGAGTTTGCATGGTTGTTGGAGGAGCCTGTACAAAACTGCTTACCAGGTGATCCAGGTTGGTTTTGTATGTATGATTGTAATTTTTAATTGTAGATAAATATAGTATAAATATTGTAGATATATGCTATAAAATGAGAATTTACAAAATAACAATTAAAATAACTCATATATTCATTTTATAAGGCTAAAATGTGGTGGTTTTGCCTAGTAACCACTGTGAATGTAGGTGAAGTAGATGGTCACATGGCTAAAAATTGGTGGTTTCCCGGAGTAACCACAGTGCATTTAGGATAAACACATAATCACATGGAGAAATGGTGAAAGACATTGTGCCTATAGGATAACATTGTGTTTATTTGTTTGTTTATTCAAAACTAGAGATATTTCACAGAGCTAATTTGGTTTATATTGTTTATCATAGTGCATCATGGAAAAACAAAAATGAGTGCTGAGGAGGTAGTAAGACTGTTGCTAGAGGCCTTTCCATCAGATTCTTAATGTAGTGGGAGGGAGAGCAGGCTAAAGGATTATGAGGGAGATCAGGGCAGTTATGGAATCCAGGGAAATAAAAACAACAGAAGTAGTGAAAGTGACCAGGGCGGGTGTAAATGCACACATTCTGTAAAGCAAGCAGTTTCCGAATGACAAGATGACCTCGAAGGACGTCCATTGCTCTGTGGTAAAAGGTTTAGTGAAGGCCAAGAAAAATTCTACTAAAGACTGAAGACTGTCAGCTGAGAGAAAAGCACACTACAAGAGTTCCCACACTACAGACCATACATATCAAGGGAGAAGCACAAATCTGAAGCTGCTCATCTCCCAGTGTAAAGAACATCAAGACGATGTGCTGAGTGCAGCACTAAGAAGGGTCTGCATTGCACAAAATGGCCTCAGCCAGACAAAAAAATGATTTTATCTTTGTCACAAAAATTTAAACAAAACAATGAAATCAGAGAGCAAGCTGAGCATTAAATGAAAAATGTAAATGACATAGTCAGCGCCACGTAGTGCACAGTGGTTACTCAGAGAAACCGCCTCAGAAATGACCTTTGACCCTGAATCAAAAAATCTCACTCAAAATCTATTATAGTTTAATGGTTTGTAACTTGTTCTTATCAACAAATTTGATATTTTGAAAGAAATCCTGTATGTGTGCCTGAAAGGGTTAAATGTAGATATGAGTAAAAATCAATCGGCTGTCCATCATCTGGCCCGGTTTTGGCCCACATGCCTAATGTCTATCCTGATATCAACTAGCTGTTTAGATATCAGCTTTCATTTTTTATCACAGCAGCAACAAATCAAATAAAATCAACACAATCAAATATTTCAGTCAATACGCTTTAAACGAGATCTTAAAAAGTGGTCCAAAATAACGTTTCACTGTCTCTGCTGGATCAGTTACGGCTTTATCCCATTACAAACCACCACTGAGTGAACTTTAAGTTGCCAACCAAAATGGCGGCAGCGTGGTTGTGACGTCATCTGAATGCTATCAATATTTTCAGAACTTAGCGGAGAGTTTGCCGCCGTACAGTGAAACAGTAAAAAACGCTTTAAAAGGACTAACATTCAGTTTTCAGACAATGTTGTCTAGAACTCAAACATCTAACGTAGGAATTAACATCATTTCAATAGGAGGAGCAGTTGAGGCGCAGGGCGCAAGAGAGAGATGTGTATGAATGTGTATTCAGTCTTATTGTGGCCAGCGATAAAAGCTGCAGCGGTTAGTGAGTTTAACATCGAGCATTTCTTGATGGTCTCCTTCATTCTTTCCTTCTTTTTTTATGTCCTTCCTCCTTGAATTCTTTCCTTCTTCATGTCATTCTTTCCTTCTTCTGTTCATTATTTCCTCTTTCATTCCATTCTTTCCTCATTCTTTTTCACTATTTTCTCTTTCTTTTCATTATTTCCTCTCAACTTTCATTCTGTTTCTTCATTTCATTATTTTTTCTTCCTTTTATTCTTTTTTCACTTGTTTTATTATTGCCTTTCTTTTCATTTTTTCCTTCTTTCTTTTCTTTCCTCCTTCCTTTCATTATTTCATTATTCATTTCATTCTTTACCTCTTCCTTTCATTCTTTTTTTCTTCCTGTCATGCTTTCCTGTCTATTTTCATTCTTTCCTCTCTCCATTTCAACTTTCAATGCTTTCTTAATCTTTCAATCTTTTCTGTTTTATTGGCTGCTTATTTACATATTTTATTTTTATGATTATTATTTTTTTATTTAATCTTTAAAGCTAGCAAGAGGCAATAAACACAAAAAAGCAAACACAATAAAAATAAGACATATAACAGAGTAACACACACTCAAACCTATAATAATAATAATAATAATAATAATCATAATTTGTTTAACTTTGTTTAGCTACTCACGACTAGTGACTCAGCTTGAGTCAATAACCATAGCTTGATAAATAACCAAAAGTTGATATATTTCTAAATGAGGGTTTTATTTTTTACATAAGTTACAATAAGGGTCCAATATCATATTCCATGTGTAAGGCAAGCTCAGCCAATCAGACGACGGTGATGTCACAATGAACCGAAATACATCTAACATGCGCGAAGTGCCATGACGTCACAACACACGCAGCCGCTCGCTGAATGTCACACCCTCTTGTGATGTCACAATGGAACAAGCCTATACAGCGTGGAACTTGGTGCTTTTTATTTAATTTCAAGTTTGACACTTGAGCTGTTTGCGTGAGCTTCACAAACTTCATTTAAATCAACTCAGCATCAAATCAAATTGAGAAACATGAATGAATGGAGGGAGAAGGAGAAGAAGCAGAAGAAGGAGAAGGGCCAAGTGGTGGTTAGCCTGTTGCACGTGGTTCTCCTCCTGAGCTGCTACAGAGGTGGTGCTTTGGAACGTGAGGAGGACCACAACAGAACGCTGCACGACCAGAACCGGACTTCACGAATGCTAAAACTCAAAAATGAACCAAAGAAATCATTCCTCAAGAGAACCTTTGGACTGTTCTGCAAATCAGGAGCTGGAAAAAAGGGATGGAATGAGAAAGGAAAGGACGTTACTGAATGAAGTGATGACACAGGGGTGCAAACTCAGCTGTGGAATGAGAAAGGAAAGGATGTTACTGAGCAAAATGTCGACACAGGCGTGAAAATTCTGGTTACCGAACCCAGTTCTTCTCCATGCAGCCAGACGTCCACTAATGGCCACAAGAGGGCACCGATAAGCTCTGTTAAAAACGGAGCAGAAAAATGCAGGAAAGTAACTTTCACAGATGACCTGCACCCAATTCCCAGACCATCCTACCACAACTACCTTCATGACACGACCAGTTTGTTGGAATTGTCTAGAGGCTGGAGCTGGAACAAAGGCATGAACCCAGCTGTCACTCCTGACCTGCACAAACCGAGACCTGGACCGTCCCACCTCAAAGATCTGCACACCAGCACTATCACGCTTCTGACCAGGACAGAAGCCTCCGGCAGCAAGAAGCTGACCAAAGAGCGTGAGGACGCCAGTGCTGACAGGAGGAAGACCACCAACCGTCTTGCAATTCGCATCTCATCAAACGAGCCTCTTCTGTTCTTCAGTGTTTTTGTTTTATTCTTTTTCTTAGTTCATGTTTATCTTCTGCATTACATCCTTTCCAAACTGAACCTTTATTAAGAACACACCTGTGCAGGAAAAGACATACAACACAGGCATTTACAACTTAGCCATTCTAGAACACAACTTAGTACACAACCATTCTAAAGCACGAATAGACTCAACACAACATCTTTTTTCTTTAGTTTTATTCTGGTTTTTATGTGTTGTTTTAATTGATAACTTATCAACATTTATTTATTCATTTATTTAGGACATGAGCGCTGGCAGGATCACCAACCAATCCCCAACTCCACCAAATGGGCATTTTCTGTTGTTCAGTCTGTTTATTTGCCTTTTTTCTAACCTGAACCTTAAATAAAGAACACGCCAATGCAATGAAAGAGATGTGATTACTTTTGCTAACTATTCTCGCATACTGCTTTGGCACACTATGTAGTATGAAAGTCTGCCATTTTGGACACAGCCGTACTGTCTTATCAATGGTTCTACTGCACGTTGTGTCATGCCTAAGAACACCCTTCCCCGTGATACAAGGCGGGGCCTGAACTCAGAGCGAGGACAAAGCCCCTTGAGGACGGCAGAGAAAGGAGAACCGCAAGTGAGTGGGGCATGGTGCACGAGTCCCCAGACTGCAATGAATTTTTGGCCCAAATGTGGCCCACATCTGCAGTTCTT